TAGCATTTGCTGAGATCACAGCATTTCAAAGCTAGGATGCTTTGTCTGAGGCAAAGTATTTTTGGAATGGCGTTCCACTTTCTCAGACCAAATTAACCTTCTGTACCTCAGAACAGGTTCTAGATTGGGATTGAATTGTTTGGAGCTGTGTTCTGGTGGGTTACAAATGTTAAACTCCAGGGTGATTGGGAGATGGTCACTGTTTTGTCAAGACCCCAATTCAGGGTTCATATTATAGCTGAGCCAATCATGAGATGTCAAGATAAAGTCTATAGTAGACCAGTATGCTCAGTATGCTCATGCTCAGACCAGTACTCCCTGAGGATGTTTCCTTGGGTAGTCCCATTAAGGATGAGGAGGTCTAACCTAGATGCAAGCTGTAGTAAGTGGTAGCCTTTCCAGTTTAGCCTGCCATCTTTAGAGGCTCGGGGAGTTTTTGAGGGGTCTGTCTCTGGTGGTACTGAGTTGAAGGAGGAATATAGTGATTACTCTGAAGATCCAAGTCTAGCATTGAAATCTCCTGCAACCAAAACAGATGCATTGAGAGAGGGCAGGAGCCGCAAGGCTAGTTATAATTCAAACTTAGTTCATATTTCATGTGTCCGTTTTCAGAGTTTGGCTTTCAAGCATTTTGGGGATTTGCATAAGCATCTGTGAAATCGTGGTTTGTATTTTAGTCAAGAGTTCCCAATATTAAGGTATACCATCAAGCAGCTAAACTAGTATGGATTGCAGAATGGATTAAAAATCCAAATGATAGACTAATGAAATTATAAGCCACTGAACTAGAGAATGGACTGTATTACCCTCTTTGGATTGAAAAATCAATTTAGAAAAATAAGGACAAGACAAAGACCATATAATTAGAGACAATTTACTCCAGAGTTGGGGAGTTTTGAGAAAAAGAATCAGCCCTGTTTTGAGGCACTCCCTTCCACTGCACTGCAAGGTAAATACACTCGAGTTCCAATGCATGAACGTATATGTCCAGGCATGGCTAATGTGGTGGAATCAGTTACTCATGTCCTCCTGTTCTGCAGATTCTATCAGAAGGAATGAGACTATCTTATACTACCCCTTCTGCTAGATTTAGCCCTCTGCAGTCTTATCTTGACTTTAGGCCAGAAGTCCTTCATAAATTCCTCCTAGAAGACGTTAGGAGCTCAGTGACTTATGCTGTGGCAAAATTTTGTTGCTTAGCTATTAGGAAACATAAACTTATTTTAGCTTAAAAATTATATGATTCTCTTATTAATATTATTATATTTTACTAATTTTATTAATTTTCTCTTGTTAATGTTTTTATACTATTGCTTTGTTATTACTGTTTTAATCTTTCTTATATCAGAATCTTACTGTTTTACTGGCTCTTGCTGAAATAAATTAGATCTGAATAAACATGAGAGAAGAAACAATGACTTTTTAACGTATAAAGATATGATAAACACCAAAGGTGAAATCAAAATTTGGCAAAAGATTGAAGGGGAGGGAAGGGAAGAAGATACTAGTTTACCTTCAATCAATCTCCAGACTTAAAAGATCTTACAGAAAGAGAAAGAGTAAGAGCTTTGACTGAATTTGAAAAATTATTACACAAGATAAAGACCATTTGCTAGGATGACTTTATAAACTATTACTCTAATATGATATGGAGACAAAACAACTTGATTTCTTAACAGGTGGTGTGAAGCATCAAGGATTTCCCTTCCTTTCCTTTTTTGTTTCTCAGTTGTTATTGGAGTTTTGCTGACTGAAAGTTGGGTGCATGTTTTGAGTTTTTTGGCTTTGGGTTTGAATTTTATTTGTCTTTCCATGTGGGTGGTGGGATTTCAGCAGTGGAAGAGAGTTTAGGTTGTGATTGGGGTTTGTAAGTAAAGCTTCTTGTACTAAACCCAGCTTATGGGATATAGAGTATTTGCTGAAGAAAATAACTGTTTGACCAGAAAGGAGACAAGTTTTGTAGGTTTTCTGTTCCCCAGTGGCTTTTTGTGGAAGAGGAGGGTCCTTGTGGCTCTGTAAGCTTAGCTTTTATAAGGGCATTAGGGGCATGGAATGGGGAATTTTCTTAAGTTTCTCAGATATTGGGCTCTGTCTCCAAAACTGTATATTTGTTTGGGGAGCAAAACTAGGGAGGTCACTTACTGACTTGCTCCATGACATAAGGTCATGCAGATGAAGCTGTTTTGCTGACTTGGCTGGAGAACGAGGATCCATATGGATTCTTTGACGTTTCTTCCTCCTCTTCTTATTATCAGATTTCTATGGAAGGCTTATCAGGAGATAAACAGGAGATAGGCAGTAGAAGGCATTAAAAAGGGTTCTTTAGTTTTAATTAGGATAAATCTGTGGGAGAGGTAAAAAGTTAAAATGGAGCTGGGAGGATAAAAGTGAAAGATAAAACTAGAATAGAGTAAGCTTAGTTGCCGGCCACCATCTCCCCCTTCTTTTGAAATTAATTTAAATAAGGGTACTGACTTGGTTTGGGATTAGAGGTTATGTAATCTATATATCTAATAGTCAAGTCGCCCCCGTGCGTGCAGATACCTAAATCTGCGCATCGGGGGCACCTGGGGGGGGAGGGAGATTTTCGTGCACACTTGGGGCAGTCCCCAGGTGTGCACAAAAATCTTAAAAGTTAAAAAAAAATATTGGGGGATACCTCGCCGCCTTGGAGCCGGGAGGGGAGAGCGGTGAGGCCCGGCGGCTACAAGCCACGCGGCCCTCGCTTTGCAGCCGGGGGGGGAGAGCGGTGAGGCCTGGCGGCTACGGGCCTTGCTTTGCAGCCGGGGGGAGCGTCGGGGGAGGGACCAATGAGGCCCAGCGGCTGCAAGCCACTCGGGCCTCGGTTCGGAGCAGGGGGAGGAGGCCAGTGGAGGGAGATCGAGCAGAGGGGGAGGAGACAGAGGAACCGGCGGGATGGGGGGGGAGAGCTTACCTGCTCCTGCTGGTTCCTCCTCCACCGGCTCAGTTTGGAGCTCCCCCGCGAGTTTCGCAGGTCGTCTTTCTTGTAAGACATAATGCCCAATTTAAGAGAAAGAAGCAAGAGAAAACAGAAGACTTTTTAGATGAGATAAAAAGAAAAGAAGGACTAAAAAGTTCCCCAGGAAATATAAATCTCTCTCAACAAATTAAGATTGTACAGCAACAGTTATCTGTTAAGAATTACAAGTTGTTCACAATGATATTAGCTGCAGCTAGTGGGTTAAGGATTGGTTTTTGGATAGTTTTCAATGGCAAATGCTCATCTTTGGTATTGCAGCATTCTTCATTTAAATGTTTTGTGTGATGGAGATGTAAAGCTAATGTAAAGTATAAGTATGATCAGTATACATCTTTAAATTTACCTTGCATACCATTTACTTCATTTATACTCTATTCTTCTCTCCAATGGCGATCCAGTGTGGCTAAGATAATTCCCCTCTCCATTTTATGCTCATAACTATCTGAAGTAGGTTAGGCTGACTATGTGTGACTGGCCCAAGATCACCCAGCAAACTTCCATGGCATTAGGGGGGATTTGAACCTGGGTCACCCAGATCCTAGTCTGATATTCTAACTACTATACATGCTGGCTGTCAGCCAGCTCAGTAGGGCTGCTAGTTTTTCAGTGCTATTTGAGGAGACTGTTGTAAGCCTCTTTGAATCCCCTTTGGGAAGAAACGTAGAGTATTAATGAAGTAAATAAAGAATAGTCTACTCAGAATCTTACTTCAGTCTGTTCAATAGGGTTTATTCTTTCTTATAGTTAGTAGATTTTCCAAGTTATTATGCACTTTCTCCAATATCTTAGAAAGGATGTGTTAGATTTGTATATGTTTAAAATTTTAAGCAAAATTCCAAACCAGAGTGATTTGCTCTTCACTGATTTGTCAATATAGACTGTATATATGAAAAGCCCAAGTTGCCAGTGGAATAAACTATCACTGGACCCGGTCACAGGGGCCAGATAATCCGCCGGGGAATGGAGGCTTTTAGCTGCGGAGAAAAAAGAAGCGCGGTATACCCTGAAAGTCTTGCTGGTCTCAGAGGTGCTACTGGACTCAAGCCCAGTGCATTCTTGTTTGAATGTATTTTTAAAAAATTGAGGGTTTTTTGAGATTTAAGAGTATTTAAACCATTTTGATGTAATGATAGGAGTGTTGATCTAGAAGTGAGGAGAACTGGATTGAAATCCTACTCTGTCTTGAAGCTTCCCTGGTGACCTTGAACCAGTCATTTGTCTCACCTAGATCACGTGGTGGTTGTGAAAATAAATTGGAGAAAGGAAAACAATGTATACCATCTTGAGATCCTTGACAATTTAATAGACAGATAAAGGAGCATTTTGAAATATGAAAGTTATGGCTACATACAAATTTGGATTCTGTGAAAACAAAAATCTAGCCTTTTGCTTAGAGGCCTCTTTCAAATGAATCAGGGAGGCAACTTTACCTAAAGCATTTTGTTGATTCTGCATGTGTTTTCTGTTTTTCCTGTTTGTAACTTAAGAACAATTTACTTTCTACAGTTTACTCACAGAGTAACAATGTGGTCTTACATCCACTAGGTCTGGCATGCATGTACTTGGTTGTGGTATTATCTTTTTAATTTCTCCCATTTTTGCTAAAAGATACTTTGTTCTGCCTAAGCCATGTTTACAAAAGGTCTTTCATCACACTGCAATTCCTACAGATTTAACTCCTTTTCTGATCTCCGGAGAACTGTCTGTTTACCATCAGGGCATACATCCGGGGACCATCTTGCATTCAATTGAGTATTATTGTTGTTGTGATTAAATGTTATTAATGTTTTTATTTTTTTTTACCGTGTTTTATATGGGCGTTGCCCCTTGTAAGCCGCCCTGAGCCCGCTTTGCGGGGAGGGCGGGGTAAAAATCCCAATAAATAAATAAATAAATAAATAAAATAATTGATTGAAGTGGGGAAAATCACCACTTTACACAAGGAATTCCATGGCACTCTCTAATAGCAGTCATATGTTTGTGTTTTTTCCTCATGCAGCACCTGTGCTTCCTGGGGCATATCAACAAACTCAGCCTCAAGGATATGGTTACATGCACCAGACTAGCATGTCATCTATGAGGTCAATGCATTCACAGCCACATTCAGCTACCTTGGTGAGTATTAGCTGAATGATTAATTACTTTTTTATTGCTGTCTCCTTTTTAAAAATGTAGTTCTCTATTAATTTTAGAATATGTTGGATAAAGCGCATAAGGAATTATCAGGAGTATAGCTGCTAGTACTATTCCTCCTGTGTTCATCAAGAGCTTCCACAAGAATTCATGAGGTGCTTTCATAACTAGGAACTGTAGCACTTTTTAGGTTTCTGTTTATGCAAGAGATTGTGAAGAACTACCTTGGATTCCATTCCACTTTTTCTCATTCAGTGCTGCAGTACAACATGCTGTACAGTCTTTCTGTGAGCGGCAGATGCCTTCCGCATGCAGAGAAGTAGAAAAGAGCAACAGTCCAGTAGCACCTTAAAAGCTAAAAAAAATATATGGCAGGGTGTGAGCTTTTGTGTGTCATTGCTCACTTCTTCAGATACCAGAGAAGGACATCTTTGGATCCAACCACATTTTTTCATAACTTTACTATTTTTTTTACATTTTTTCAAAGAGACTAGGTTTAAAATAAAACATTGTATGTGCTGAAGTTGCCTGGCACCCCCAAATGATGACACGAGACGAGTGTGGATTCAACTAGATTTATTTATTTAAATGATGGCTGATCTATGTCACTGCTTATAAATAAGCTGATAAGTTTTAGGGTGGGCTGCACTAGGCATCCACGTGGTCTGCCTTTTGGGCAGTTCCAGCCTGGCTCCAAACTCAGCCAGCTTTTCCACTGGCCTTGCTTATCACAGCATGCATAATCACTATGTGCCGAGAGGTTAAAAGATTCATCCACCTCCCTTGATGTACCACAAGGCTCCTACCATATTTGAAAGATGCTTATCAGGACCAAGGGTGCTTCTTCACTGTACACTCAGCCTCAAACATCACCTCATCACGCCTGATGCCTTGGTGTTTTCTGATTAAGCCTACCTATCCTGAGCAACCCACCCTAGTTCTGCCAAGTACTTTATAACCAGGCCTAGTTAATTTAAACACCATATTTATAATGAGAGCACAAAGCAGGTTAAAAAAAGAACTTTGGCCAAACCATTCTGATGAACCCCCCAAAATGTTCTGCTTGACCCTGCAATAGTGACCAGTTAGTCTCACATTGTCCCCTGGCAGCAAAATGTCTGCCAGGGAGAGGGCCCAGCTGAATAAAAAGCTGCCCTCCCCAACTGGCTGGCTCACTTTAGAGCCCCACCACTAGTGTCCTGTTCCACATTTAAAGTTAATTTGCTCTGAATGTCCCTTCTTTATAAACAAGATCATAGTAAATGTGAAATATCATAGATAGATACCATTGCACAATATTTATTTAGGTAAGGAATTCATAGTACCTAAATATGCACTCAGATCTCTGAATCAGAGGGTCATAGTTTTGATGGGATTCCATATGAAATAACTGAGAACACACTCCATCAGGAAGTTGTACTACACAAATCCCATTGAAACCAATGTAACCAATGTAACCATCATGCTCTTACTTAGGTTCCATTCATCAGTGAATCTTGTATAGTAGAACTTCTCAGTAATTTACACCAAAAATGAATATCAGTTGTACTTGCTCCCCTCCAAATCTTTCTTTTATCTTCTCTGATGCATTGTCTAATGAAGAATAATTTGTTTAATAGGTTTTCAAGGTCCATGTTTAAGACCTTAAAGCAGTGTAATTCTCAATTACATAACCCAGGTGCTATATGTAGTGGTAATTAGAAACTAAATATTAATTGAATTACTATGGAGTTTCCACTTGATAACCTTGTTGTGTAATGAAGTGTAAAATACATATGGGTAATTTTTTTTTCAACAGCACAAAGGGGGTAATAAAAGTAGTTCTGAATTATATTCACAAGGTTTTAGACATTTTCCGTTTCTTCTTAATTTTAACAAAACTAAATTAACATGTATGTAATAAGAATATGGAAGCATCTAGAAACCTGTTTCTAATAGAATTTGCTTTCAAAATTTAATTTACCATAGATACTAAATATATTTAGCTAATACTATGAATCTATATAACATTCACATCTTCCATTTCAAATGTGTTAATCACATATAACATCATCAAGCAAAATTAACTTTGGATTTGACTATTTGAGTAGTTTTAGTTAATATTAACAACACAACAATCACCAATGTGTTAATAGCACCTAATGAAGACCATGATTACTTTGGCTTAAACATTTGATAATCAATATCAGTATGAGGCTTCTACCCTCTGGCTCGAAAATGGGGTTATGTTTTAGTTCAAGATAATTAATGAAGGATTTAAATGTTGCTGAAGATACACCAGAAATAATAATGCATCTATTAAGTAATCATGCCTCTGGTTCTTATTAAAGGCTTTCTGTAAACAATTAAGTATTGTCACAAGTATTTTCCTAAAATAATATATCCAGGGGTCATTTCGGGGGGGATCGCGGGGGATCGCAGTTACCCCGGGTGAGGTACGGGGAGCGGGGCACATGACGAAGCCCCGCCCCCTGCTTCCGGCTGCCCCGCTTCCGGGCCTCATTCAACCAGGAGGAGGCAGGAGAAGAGGGAGGGTAAGTTGCTTCTTCCCTGCCTCTCCCCACCCCTGCCTGCCTGGGGCCAGGGAGGGCCTTCGCGAGGCTTCCTTGCACTCCCGCTGGCCTTGCAGGTCCACCGCCGGGCCCCTTATGGGGTTCGGCAGTGGAGCTGCAAGGCTGGCGGCGGCCAGGACCATTGGGGGCGGGGTGTGTGGCCTTATGACACACTTCCGGTGATGTCAGGGTGTGTGGCATATGCTAATGAGTTATGCTAATGAGTTCCCCTAGCTCTTTTTCTACGAAACGACCCCTGAATATATCACAGTATATTGTCGAAGGCTTTCACGGCCGGAGTTCATTAGTTGCTGTAGATTTTCCGGGATGTGTGGCTGTGGTCTTGGCATTGTAGAACCTGACGTTTAACCAGTAACTGTGACTGGCATCCTCAGAGGTATAAACACAGAAAGATGGAATACTCTCTATGTCAAGGTGTCAAGGTCAATATATCACAGTAGTTAGTAGCCACTATGGCTTCTGTATTTGTAATGGCAGAAATGTGTACAGCAGATCTTTGTTGCTTACTGTTTAACACATCTAACTGCATGGTTTTGGTGAACATATTAAAAATAGCTACAATTTGAGAAATAACATACATAAAATTGCCCAGACTTGGATGGACCAAGCTAACCCTATCTCAGAAGCTAAGCATTGTTGGCCCTGGTTAGTACTTCAGTGGGAGACTACCAGGGAAATCTGGGGTTGCTATGCAGAGGCAAGCAATGGCAAACCACCTCTCTTCATCTTTTGCCTGAAAAATGCTACAGGGTCACCATAACTTGACAAGAATGCTGACTGGAATGGGACTTAGGGACCATATCACTCCAGTCTTGTTTATCTCTGCTGTTTTCCAGTATGTCTCAAGGTCCAATTCAGTGTGTTGGTGTTGATCTTTAAAGCTCTATATTGCTTAAGGACCGTACAATCCCACATGAATCTACCAGAACATTGAGGTCACCTTCAGAGGCCCTAATTTGTGCATCTCCATCATCTGAGGCTAGAAAGGGGGAGGGACCCAAGAAAGGGCTTTCTTGGTGATGGCACCAAATCTGTGGAATACTTTCTACAGGGAGATCAATATCTCCCGATCTTCTTCCCTTACTGATCTTCTTTGCTGTTTATGACTTTAAAGGGTTTTTTAAAATATAGATGTATTGTTTGCCACCTTGAGGGCCCTAATTGAGTGAAAAAGTGGGATAAAAATGTTTTAAATAAATATAGATTTAAATATCTATATAATAAAATGGAGGGAAAGTATCCTGAATCCTCAGTTTCTGCTCTAGACATAACATTTCGTTAATCGCTTAAGCTTTGTTGGTTTGATCTAGTTTTGTGATATGCAACTGATATAGTGTGCTTGTTCACACCATTCTATTCTCCCTTCAACTGGATAAGTTTTATTTGATTTCTGACCACCAAGCAAATATCTCATATTTTATGGAATTTCTAACAAGCAGAACTTTGTACTTAGAATTATATTCCTAGCTCAGTATTCACTACTTTCAGCAATTCGGAGGTTTGCTAAGCCATGCTACCAACACAGTTTTATATTGGAGATAAGCTGTGGCTATTTTGGAGGGGGGTGGCACACTATCTGTTACTACAGATATTTAATGGACATTCCCCCCTCACTTTTTCCTCAACAGAGAACATACAGGGCTATGTATGACTACAGTGCCCAAGATGAAGATGAAGTTTCCTTCAGGGATGGTGACTACATCATCAACGTACAACCAATTGATGACGGTTGGATGTATGGTACTGTTCAGAGAACTGGAAAAACTGGAATGCTTCCGGCAAATTACATTGAGTTTGTTAATTAATACCATTAGTCCTCCTGAGCTTTTATTCTGATTTGCTTACTCTTTACAAAAGTACTTTTAAAACTACACCTTCATTACTTCCCTGTTAATGTAACCATCTATGCTCATATGCTGAAGTCAACAGGTCCTCTAAGAAATCGAAGAAGCACTGAGCTCCCAAAGTATGCTGCTTAAATTTATCTATAAAAACAGACTGTCAGTGGAAACCTGGTGCTTTTAATCACGTCGAGGTTTCTATCAATTAGCTCCCCGATATAGTTCTGCCTTTACTGTAGGCCGTAGTTAGCTTTTAAGTTATAATCATAAGCAGCTGTTATATTTTTCATTTGCGTGACTTTGAAATTGTAAGAGACCATAGTTTTGCTGTTAAGGTTCAAGCCATTAAAAGCCCAAGTGAATTGAACATTCATATATTTTTGTCGTGATGAATGCTGTGCTCAACAGTTGCTTACTACTGCCAGGCAGCCTTAAAACAATTTGTATCTTACTTTTAATGGTGAAGGTTTCCCAACACATAGTCGTCTAGTCTACTGTATACTTCTCTGAAACTTTCATTTGCTCTCATTTGTTCTCCCAACACTTGTCAGTCTTCCCAAAACCACTGGTTGTGAATGAGTTATGATATAGCAGTGCCTTTTTGCACAGCTGGAGACAATTTTAGGATGCATTTAATGCCTATCTTTTATATTTTGTTTATGCCAACCTTTTCTATTTTCCCTTGTATTAACAGTGTTTATACAGAAATGCCTGTCTTCAAAGCACTTTACAAGTAACAATGATCTCTTTTCTTTTGTCAACAGTCTGACTTGGCAATCTTATAATACAGTAACTTGTGATAGCAAAACACTTTGCTTGTAGCAGCATGGCAATGGTGTGTGTGTGTGGTGAGGGTTATAGCGTGAATTTGGACTTTTATTTAGGGCCAGATTGGTGAGCAATATGACTTTTCTGAGGCTTAATAGATGAAAAATATGTAGATGAAAAAACCTAATTAGTAAATTTTCATGCCTATGAATATAAATAATTGAATTATGGCATCCTTCTGGCAATTTTACCATCACAAAAAGTGAAAAAAATACATTTTATTCTACAGCACTTCTACAGTACTATTAATTGGCTTAGTGATAATTAGCATTAATGGAATAACAAAATATTTCTCAAAAAAGGGTTCTTAAATTCAGTTTTTTATCTTCTATTATAACATCTGGGAAATGCTTTGAGCAAAGATATTACTTCCTGTAGCAATCAGAATTAATCCACAAATTCATTGCATTCCTACGTATAAGCAGTACTTGGATTCTAACTTGTTGATACATTTTCCTGACCATTTGTGCAAAGATTTTCTGTATGAATGTCAATTTTTTTCTGCCCTACATTTATACTATTCAAAGAAAAATGAAAAAGAGGAAATATGGAATGAATATATTTTTCTACTTGGTCAGCCCAGAATTAAATAAACACTGTAACTACTTATGATAATTTATCTGTTTTCCCCCTCTATCAATTAAAGAAAAGTCAACTCAGTTTTATTTAATCAAGATCAGAGAGTGAAATGAGACACCAAGTAAAATTCTTTTGATAGCTTGGTACATATATATTTTTATCTATGGTATAGAGTATCTTTTGTGGAAAGATGAATTGTTGATGTTAAGGGTACGGTGTCCTTTCATGGGCCATACAATATTTTGAAGGTATACTAATGTCATTGTATTTTTTTTTTCATTTTTCATTATCTAAAGGAAGTGTATTTAAACCTCTTTTAGAGAGTTGTCCTCTCTAACTTTCAAGGAAGCAGTCTTTTGTTTGTTTGTTTTTCTAGAAGAATGATGCGATATTTTGAGTTATTGAAAGTCATGTGTAGAGTAGAAAGGTCTAAATTTCTATTATTATTTAAATGAGGGAAAATAAACCTCTGACCAGCAGCAAGTTGACTGTTTTCTCTCCTACCTTTCCCCCAGGTAATGGTAGTCAGGATTGCCAACATTTTTTTTGTTCAGACAATTAAGGTCGTTTTACTGTGGACTAGGTAAGGGCTGGGAAGCTGCGTAAAAGAGGCTCAGGGCTGATTCAGATGCTCCCAAGACATTCTTCCTATGAGGTTGTTTCACTCCATTGTGCATGTGAAATTGTTTGTTTTTTCAAAGTGAAAAAAAATGATATTGCAACCTGCCATGAAAGGGACATTAATGATATTCATATGGTTGAGCCTTGCCATCTTATTTGATAAATGCTTGATTTGATTCTCAGTGCCGATGAATAGCATCTGTTTTGAACTATTCTTTTTATGATGAGGGTCAATGCTTCATTGACATAGTATAGTAGCAGTTCTGCCAGTCAGGAAAATAGAAATTATTACTTCATTTGATATTCAGGGTAGGAGTATAAGTCAAGAAATATACCTACTGCCATGAATCCAAATATCCAGTATGTCAGATTATAAATATTTCTCTTGGAATCTTGGAATATTTCAGATATTCAATTGGTTAGAAAGTTTCTAATAGTTTGTAATTTACTAATTATTGATTTGGAGTGGTTTTGTTTAAACTTTGTAGTATGCTGGAATTATGATATCGGATGTACTCTGAAAGGTAAAGCATGCTCAGAAATTTTTGTCTGTGCCCCCAAGATCCAGTGCAATCAAGGATTTAAATATCTTAGTATAGTGTGGGATAATACTAAATAGAATATTGAGAAAGGAAGAAGCACACCTAGTTTTCCTATAATCTCTGATGTATGTTTTGCTGAAGTGGAAATGTTCTGAGGGAGTTCATGTGTGGTATTTCAGATGTGAATAGTGCAGAGCCCACTGGGAAGGGCGGGGTATAAGTACGAAAAATAAATAAATAAATAAATAATAAATAAGATATGTATTGTTTTGTTGCTTTAAAATACATGTAAATGAAGGGGGAAGGACTTAACTTCTACTGCTGTGGTGATTTAAAAGGAAAAGCACAGAAAACTGCACACATCCTTTGCATCTGATACAGCAGACACACATTGTTCTCTATTTAAAAAGACAACTGTGCAGCTTCAGGGCTTGCGGAAGATGGAAGTTCCTTTCACTGCTTACTATATTTTGTCTCCCTTTCCCCTCCCTTCACCATTTTGCTCTACTTTTTTTGTTCTTTTGCTGCTTTTCATCCCTCTTTTGTCACACCACTTGCAAGGGTGTCATGTGAGGCCAAAACAGCCCTGGAAAGGGCCTTCCTTATCCCTTTTACTAGCAAAAAAACAAGGGTTGAAGGCTGGCAATATTGTTGTGGTTGCCTCGAAATCCCCACAGTAACCACTGGGATCTCCTTTCATAAAGGTACAGTTGCTGCTTCTATTATTTTGTGAAGCTTTACCCTTCCAATGTATTTAGATTTGTGAACGTCACTTTCAGGGAGACCCCAAAAGTTTAGAATTCAGTTTTTTTGCAAACCTAGGGGTTTTCTCATTTGTGTAGAAAGAACTGTCTTTTCTGTTGATGTCCCGAATCTCCAGATTTAAGTATCCACAGATGGGGTCACATGAAAATTAGATGTATTGATTTTGTAAGAAAGAGATATTATTGGAAACTGCTGAAAAAACAATTGGCTCAAGGAGATGTACACTCCTTTTAGAGACTTTTCTAGCAGAGTCCAAAAATAATCAGTGGATTTCCAAAGGAGACATGAATATAAAAAGAATAGGTTCAGATCCTGCAATTCCCTTTGTTTAAGGAGGAATTTTATTCCAAAGAGCAAGTGTTGTGTAATAAGAGTGTCAGATTAGGATCTTGGAGAGATGGGAGAACTGGGAAAGTGTCAGATTAGGATCTGGGAGACCCTGTCATGAACCTTACTTGGTGAGCTTGGGCCAGATGCTGCCCCTCAGCTTTACCTAGTGCACAGAGTTGTTGTGAGGATTAAATGGAAAGGTTAGAACCATGAATCCTGCCCTGAGCAAAATAAAATGTATTAGATGATTCTGGGGAGTAAGACTTCTCATGTAGCAAAAGGGAGTAATAGAATCTAACCTAATAGCCAGATCTGAGGGTGAAACGGCACATTACATTTATTTCCACTATCATTTTAACGGACATTTCTCCCAGATATAGTTTCCAGGTTTGCTGTTTGGATGATGAGAGAAACATTAGGAGTCTTTTAACTTTTCATGCCTGCTGTTTTCCATTTAAAAAGTTGCCTCCTCTCTCCCCTCCACTGAATTGCTTTTACTCCTACTGAGAAATAAATATGGATACCCATAAGCTGAACAGTTGGCTGGCCCTCTCAGTTCTGGCATCCACACCCAAAATTGATGCCCAATGCTATCAAAGCTTAAAGTATAGATCATTTGTTTGGTTTCTAAATTACCAAAAGAAACCATGTGCCCTGATTTGCTTGTACTCCACCCTAATACACACAAATCAGTTTGCAAAGTTGTGTGTCACTTTATTTGCTAATTTTAGTTTTATCATTTTAAAACCTGAAAATCTCTACATATTTGAAGAACAATGTTCAACTGCAAAACATTTATTGCATTGATAAAGTGGGGATTCTGTTTCCATACTGATTGAGGACTGCTTCATGTGTCACATGGGCAATAATCTTTACAAGTAGCCTAATAAAGAGATTGCCATAAATTATCATGTAGAAATGTTAGTACTTTGTTCCCCAAAGTATCATGGCGCCAGCTGAGAAATGTTCCAAGTCATTTTGAGTTTCAATATAGTTGCACACAATATGGTTACACACTAAGGATGCTCAAACTCCTGCCAGTTCAACTCACATCCATTTGCCGGTAGTGATCAGGCAGCCAAATAATTGATGGGCATTTCAGCTGTGTTGCAATCTATTTGCAGAAATAGCCTGTTTGCAACCATAAGAAGCCAACTCCCTCATCAGCTCAGAGTCAGCTTCTGATCTTCTGCCGGGGGGAAATTTGCTGTGTACCAAACAAAATTATGGAGGGCGGAGGAATCAAGAACCAGCTCCAAGATTATTATTTTTTTTGAAACCCCCAGAGGGGTATTTTTATTTTTTCAATAAGACTACGAACTACAAAGAAAAAATATAGGAGGGGGAACTACAACTATGGATCAAGGAAGGATACCCACACTAACTAAAAACCCAAGAGTGGGAGACCCCCTTTATGTTAAACTTAATATTAGTATTAAAAGAGTTAGTAAAACAGTATACTTGTAGAGTTCTTGTTTTTCACATTGTTCTATATTAGTAAATTAGCTATTATGAGAGAACTTTCTGAGCATCTTCTTTATTTCAAAGAGCCATTTATCAGAGCCCTTCTGCCCTTACTTCAGCTTTCTATCTCTAAAATCATATACAGTTTTCATTGCTCCCGCACCCGCTTCTGCAGCAGAGTCCTCATCCATTCCCAAGGCAGCTGAGTCACTTGACTTACTTTCTTCCTCTTCAGAGTCTTCCCCCGATCCCAGCTGACGTCAAAAGAATTCCTTGGCTTTGAAGATGGAGTCTATCTTCTCCCTTCTATCGTTGATTTTAAAGATGACACCTTCAGGAATCGCCCACCTGTACTGTATACCGATTGTTTGAAGAAAAGTAATTAACTCCTTGTAGCTCCATTTTTTTCCCGTTTCTGCCA